TCTATTTAGAATAGTTCTGCCAACACAAATGCATTTTTTCTAAGGCTATCTCATAGCACATGAAGGTACAGGTCAAGTGGAAGGTTCCTGCATGGGGAAAACTTTTTAATCACCTCAGCAAACTGTAATTTTCAGAATTGCAAGCCAAGGTAAATTTACCAAGTGCTCAAGTTTTCAAATTAGTTACCTAATTCTTACAGTGGAGTTCAATCCTTTTCTTCAGCTTGATGATCCTGTTACATGCGAAATCATTGAATGTTACTAAAATATTGAAATAATTACCTGATTGAATTTTTTTCAGGGTCTTAGCGTAAGAGAAAACCCAGATAGGACTCGACTTACCTCCTCTTTTTTGCGCGGATCCTTTGTAGTTCGCTTCTCTTTGTTGATGACCCCTTTTCAGTCCGTTTTCAGGAGCGACTTTGTATTTCCTTCTCGCGTTGCTCTTTGCTAGAAACTCGCCTTTTTACTTATGTCCTTTATTGTTCTCTTTCGCGTCCCTCTCGCCGTATTCTGCCTATTTTGGTGTCCTTTCTAACTTTTTTGTGCGATTTTCTGGACTCGCTTTACGCCGTTTACTTGTTGCTTTCTTTGGATCATCTGTCTCTTTATATTCAGCCTATTTTCAATTAAAACCCTCTCTCCACGAACTTGAATTATAAACATTTCCTCCGGTTGACGAAGCTTAAACTCTTCCGGTATCGTTGCCTTACGAGTTGTTTAGAAATTGCAACATACTGAGAATTACTGTTCAACTACATCCTAATCAGTTTTATTTCCCGCTTAACGCGGGTGGCAAATCACATTTACTAGCTCACGTGAAGCCCTCGTGCAACGCCTAACCGTGTGCATGCAGTACGCTACTTTATAGCTCGACAATTGAGTATGTGCACTTTATCGTTATTTGAAGGTGTCTCCTGGCGCACACTTATGGGGTATCCAAGTTACGAACGCAATCGCGCCTGCGCATTACCTTCTCCCTCGCCCTTCCATTACGTAATGGCTAAGATAGTGTCCGTGGTACAGTTGGCCGTGCATGCTAAAAGCAGCATCTTGTACGGTCCTACTGTCGTACAGCCAAAATTTTTCGGCTTGAGGTGTTACTACTATTTTGTATAATTATGTTGCTACGCAGGAGCTCCACTATTATTCAGATAACGATCGACTTTTTCCTTATTGAACAGTTGCGCACAGCTTCCAAAATGCCAATTTTGCCATGCAAACCCCATGTTCGACTCTAAGTTTTATCGTCGGAAGATTATAAAGAAAGAAAATTCGTTGAGAGACGGTAGGCTTTAGAGATTATTTTCTTAACAAAGTACATCGGCTCTTTGGAAAGGTGAGAGGTTCGGTCACTTCAGTCAAGTCACGTGGTGTCCTCAATAACCCTCAGTCGTTTGTTTGTTCTTGTTCCTATTTCGTGTTTCTTAAGTATTTGCCAAGGTTTTTTTTATGTCTCCTAAAGTACATTCAAGAAGTGGATTCCAGAATTTCGTGTGTAGTGCAATACAATTGAATGTTATTGTTAGTTTATTGCGAAAACGCCTGTAGCTACCACGTCTTAAATTAGCACCAACAAAACATCGAAAGGACAGCTAGTCTTTACTGAAAAACACATTTATAATTTTAACTTTTTTAATGCAACTTTTACCAGTAATGAAAACAGAAAAACTGAAATTAGATGAAAATAGAATTAGAAAGACGATAAGTTTTGAGTCGGTAAACGTGGATTCAGATTTTTTTTTTTGTCCAACGCACTCGAGAAGACGAAAAACATCTTTCTCTGTTTCCTAAAAGAGGTTGACAGAATCATGCAAAATTCTTCAGAGTGTCTTTTTTACTCTTTTTTTTTTTATGGAAAACCAGAGGAAATCACCAAAGTGTAATCTATCTGTCACCGAACTGAATGGGTTCGACAAATTTTAAATAACGCTATTGCCTAATCGATCGAAGGGTATGTTAGAGACAGGAATTCTTAATTCTTAATTATTATTCAGCTTGCGATCGACTTTTCCTTATTAAAAAGCTGCGCAAAGCTCATAAAGTGCCAATTTTGCCATGCAGACGCCTGGCACGGTTCTGAGTTTCATCGGCGGAAGATTATTAAAGAACCTGGGGACACTTTTAAGAAAGTTATTTGAGATAAGGTATGCTTTGAAGATTATTTTCTTAACAAATTTCTCTTAAATTATTTCAATGTTTCTAAATTAAAAGGGAGTTCACCCTAAATTTTAAGGGGAAGTGACGGTAAGGTGAGTTTCTGCTAGTGGAGGGTTGTCCATTACACCTTTGATTGGGGCGATTCATCTGAGGCTGTGTGAATTATGAAAATAACTTAAACCTCAGTCAAGATTGAAGGATATCCATTTTTTTTTTTAATTTGTATTTTTATGCGCAGATCAAAGCCTTCTATGGCATGAATATATCAAAAATGAAAAGGAAAACTACTTGAAAAAGTGGAGTGAATTGGCAGGTACAGCTGATCTCTTTGGGCGATCGAAGTAAAATATGTGTCAAAGAGAAATAGATTCAGATATTCGACACCTGTTTGTATGATGCCATGACTAAAGGCAACAAATGATAAACGTTTTGTGTTGAATTCGTTTGATAGGCTGTACTTGTTATTAGCCTATGTAGATTTCTTTTAGAATAAATCTTTTTTTATACTCCGACGTGCTGTGATGTGAATGTGTCACGAGAATTCGTTAATAGCAGGACTTAGTCGGAGAGCATTCATGGACTCCTTAATATTTTCCCTCCTTATTTTTTGAATTTAATTAAAGACTTTTATCATTTAAAGAATAAAAGAAAACGTCTTCAGTGGCAGGAATATATCAGAAATGAAAAAGAACAACTATTAAACAAGTGGAGTAAATTGGCGAGTGCAGGAGATATCTTGGATAGAAAAGAGTTTCAGATATATAATATCAGTTTTCGAAACTCGCTTGACTTTAAGGCGATGGATGATAACCGTTTTGTGAAAAAATTGTTTGATATGCTTTTCTTGTTGTTAGCCTGTGCAAAAAATTATTTAGCTTAGCCTATTTTTTCTTTCGATTTCAATTTTATCATTTACTCTCAATTCGTAAAAGAGAAAGGGGAAAATGAAAGAATACTACTTTAAATACATCTTTCAAAAAAAAAAAATCAGAAAGGAGAACAAAACAAAAACAAAAATTAAACGCACTAGTAAAAGAAATGCACCAGTACTGAGAACGTTCAAACTCGTAGGGAACGCTGGAGACTTGGAGAAAGCCATTGCCAGCTTCAGAGTTATGACTTACGGAAATCAACATATCAACATCATCCCCATCTGGCTAAGAAACTAATTAGTAAATGAAAAATGCGAAATAAAATGGCGCTGATATCTGGTATGCAGATCCAGGAAAAAGGACCAATTCTGAACTATGATAGAAATGTCATGTTTGTAGGAAATATATTGCGCTGTGTCGTTGAAGGGTGACCGGCTGTGGCATGTCACGCATCTTTCTGAGAAAGAGTGGAAAGTAGCCTGTGAATTCGAAAAAGTTATATTTCTGTAATAAGCAGTCAATTCCATGCGACACGACAAAATGAACAAAAGCATGGAAAGGCGTTTTCCGAGCAGGAATTGAAAAATATAGCAAACGAAAATAAAAAAAATAAGACCTATCAACTACAATTTTTGACTGAAAGATGATTATCTCAATTTGAGTGAGGATAGGCGAACTTAGGAATCGGAATGTTACTTTTTTTTTTGCAATAATCGGCTTACGCGGACGGAAAGTTACAAGCTCAATAGTCACTGATTCGTGACTCGTAAAAAGTGTTCAAAATCTCTTTGAAACAGCCTAAAGGGTTTTCTTGGCTTTCTTAAGCAGCCATAGGAACTAGTTGCCTTGCACGACCTGTAAGGAAACAAAGGTCGTCTTCATATCGGAGATTGGTTTTTTGAAAGGACGTAGCTAACATTTGCGAAAACGTACCGAAGGAGGGATGTAAGACCATGGGTAAGACTTTGTTGCCTTACGGGATACCAAAATAAAGTGTGGAGGTTACGTCAGTCTAGTCTCTTTCGCATTACTCTGTTGTCAAATCATTGCCGGAAATACAATAATATTTCTCAATTATTTGGAATAGGAAAAGACTTCTCAGATGACTTATTCACCGGAGTGTATAACCTGGATGGTTGTGGGCCTGACTGAATCTGTCATCATAACAGCTCTGAATTCTTTGACAGTGATTGCGTTTTGTAGAGACCGTAATCTTCGTAAACGATCAACGTACTTTGTGATAAGCTTAGCAGTTGCAGACATGTTATCCGGGGGAAGTTCTGCACTCAACTTCTTCGATGATGTTGGAGAGACATGGAACCTTTGGAGGCACAATAGAGCGTATTGGTATATACCTCAGGTGTTCATCCTCTGGTTTCCCGTTTGTTCGCTAACAAATATGACTGTTATTTCTCTAGAACGCCTGAATGCAACGTTTTGGCCCTTCAGACATCACACGATCAAAAAGTCAGTCTACTGGGTTCTTATAATCGCCATCTGGTTGACAACACTACTCTTTTGTGCGTTAACAATGAAATATCACCATGCATATAAAGAGGATTATTATCACTACGCTTGGGGTTCATTCATCTCAATTTGTCTTTTGGTCATTTGTGTTTCTTACGTTTTTATTTTTGTCAAGCTTCGCTTTGGAAATCAGCCTCGACACCATGGCGCGGCAAATAGGGAAAGGAAACTGACCGTGACGTTGTTCACCGTGACTTCTCTCTCTCTTCTATTGTGGCTGCCTTATCTTACAGCTAGTTTTCTGTTTTTTGCCGCTAACGTTTTAAGTTCATTATCTGAAACAGCGCTTTTCCATTTAGAACGTGGTTCAGTGATCTTGTTTTACGCAAACTGTTTTTTAAATCCGATATTGTATACTATGAGAATGCCAGGCTTTAGGCGAGCTTTAAAGTTATTATGTCGCCAACGACCTCAGGCACACAGACAGGTTGAGATCATTCCCCTCGGTGAGATTAACCCACAAATTTGAATTTAATTTGTTTGGGAGAAATGAACATCCACAAAGGTTGTGTGAAGGTACTCTTAGATAGGAAGTTTGCTCTAAACTCTCCAACATCTGCATTAAATTCAAAAAAAAAAAAAAAAGAAAAAGAGAAAAAAAGGAAAGGTAAAAAGGAGGAAAATTGAATTAATCAGATTACGTCGAGGATCATTTTATTGTTAAACGTGGTTCCTTTGTATGTTTCATTTCTAAGGTTTCATATTGCATTTTGTTCATTTGGGTTTGTTCGATGATCTCTATTATTAATAGGTTTAGTTTTGCATCAGTTTAGGCTTAGTTTACGTCTGTTTAATTTGAGTTCACGCTTTTTTGTGCGCGATTATGTCAAAGCCGTTATTACCACTCTATTTCGCTTTGATCGTTTCTGTCGCTTTACCTTGATTCGCTTCACGTTTTGTATAGGTTTACTGGATTCAGTTTTTGTCAAAGAAGTAAATATGAGCACGTTAGAAACTGTGATCGCAATTTTAATCAGATTATGCAATTGAACATTATTATATTATGTCAATATCCTAAAATTAACATGGATTTCCTCCATACTGTTCTCGATATATTTCCAAAGGATTTGACAAGGAGAATTTGTTAAACAATCAAGGTTCTCAAGTTGATGATCATTTCCTTTATTCTCGTGACCTTTTTGTTTTATTCAGGGGTGATACTGTAAGGAGAAATAAGATGTAAGTCAATCTTACAGTTCAGAGGATTAACAGCTAAAGGATTTGTAGATGAACTAGGTGACAGCTCTTTATCAATTTGAAAATAGACAAAATCAGAAAGAAAGGATGTGATAAGCTAAGTTATTTACTTATTTATCTTAGTAAGTAATGGTAATAGGACTGAGTGGAGTCCATCTCGGTCTGCAATCATACTTTGTTACCAAGAATATGATTTCAGACCGAATTGGACTCCTCAAAGTCTTTTTACCAATTAATCACAAAAAATGGTATTTCTAACGAATGAGTCTGCGAATAAGGCAGAAATAGATATTTTGTCGGCACGAGATACGACAAGGCCTGGGCCTTAGGCCCGAGCATCATGGGTAATGATGCAGTGGTATATAAGGGAAAGTATAGCACGTGATATCCATCTAGGCCTCAGAACCAACCGTTCACCTCTGGCTGATGACAAATTTATTTTAGTTTGAAAACATATTTTCTTTAGCTGTGAAGCCTCGTAGGATGGGCTGCCAACTGCTTTGAGTTTGGGCCATGGTTCCTACCCAGATTTCCTGTCATGTTTTTCCCCAAAGGGGTTTTTTCTGGCAGGTTTTTTCAGGCCTCTGTATAACCGTAGTTATGTCCTTGTAAGCGGTTGCCCATCTCTGTTAATCCAGACTTGGTGAAGTTTGCATGTTAGTAATGTATACCTTTTTTAATGTGTAAGGAATTGACTGTATATCAGGATTGTATGTGGTATATCAGTTGCGAAGATATGTATGTATGCATTCCCCGGGCAATATATGCCTCGGGTTGGTTCTCGGCAGGCTTCCCTAAATAAACTTATTTGGTGTGCACTACTGTGTTATTTGTTGTGTAGTGGAGACAAAATTTACAATTTGCGAGAAAAGATGATTACCCAAGTTATGAAAAAAAGGGAAAATTTGCATCTAGACTGACAAAGTTATTTGTGTTTCTATGGTGATTGAAACCGAGGATGTGATTGGTTGATTTAAACTACAACTTTGGATGTAATTGGCTTATTGAACTGTCCCATAACAAACTGTCCCATAACAACTTGGAAAGTAAATTAATGGGAAAAGTGAGTTTTTGAAAACAATCATAATCGTGGAAACTGTAGTTTTTTTATGATTAAGACTGATACTTTCAGCATAAATGCATAATTTAAAGAGAGAACAGGAAACAGAGAACAAGAATCAGGGAACAGGATGCAGAGAACAGGAAACAGAGAACAAGAAACAGAAAACAGGAAACAGAGAACACGAAAGAGTGAACAGGAACAGAGAACAAGAAACAGAGAACGGGGAACAGAGAACAGAGAACAAGGAATGGGAAACAATGAACGGGGAACGGAGAACAGGGAACGGGGAACAGGAAACGAGTAACAAGGAACGGGGAACGGGAACAGGGAACAGAGAACAGAGAACAGGGAACAGCAAACGGCGAACAGAGAACAGAGAACACGAAAAAGGAAAAAGAGAACAGGGAACAGGGAACAGGGAACGGGGAACGGGGAACGGGGAACGGAGAACGGAGAACGGGAAACGGTGAACGGGGAACGGTGAACGGGGAACGATGAACGGGGAACTGGGAACGGGGAACGGTGAACGGGGAACGGTGAACGGTGAACAGTGAACGGGGAACGATGAACAGGGAACGGGGAACGGGGAACGGGGAACGGGGAACTCAGCACTTCTGCACGGCGCAAAAAGATAATAATTTTTCCCGATTGTTGTGTTCCACCACTTAGCACGTTTTGCTTCCCAGTTTGCAGACCGCTTTGATAGTCGTGAGTGTTATCTGCATGTGGAATGTCACTGAAAGCATTATGAGGCAACAGTGATAGCGAACGGAGGACAGGGAACGGGGAACGGGAAATGAAAAACGGGGAACGGAAAATGAAAAACGGGGAACGAAAAATGAAAAACGGGGAACGGAAAATGAAAAACGGGGAACGGAAAATGAAAAACGGGGAACGGAAAATGAAAAACGGGGAACGGAAAATGAAAAACGGGGAACGGAAAATGAAAAACGGGGAACGGAAAATGAAAAACGGGGAACGGAAAATGAAAAACGGGGAACGGAAAATGAAAAACGGGGAACGGAAAATGAAAAACGGGGAACGGAGAAAGGAGAGCCAGAGCCTGGCACCGAAAGTACATCGGCGGAAATCGGGTCGTCAGAAAGGTGAGAGGTTCGGACACTTCAGTTAAGTCACGTGGTGTTCTCAGTCACCTCAAATCACTTTTTTTTTATTTTTGTTCTTATTTTGTGTTTCTTCTCAGTCTCTTTTTTCTCCCTTTTCTTTATTTATTTAATATTTTTTCCAAAGTTTGTCTTCTAAAGTGCATTAGAGAAGTGGATCCCAGAATTTACGTGTGCGGTCCAAGAAATTTGAATTTTATTGTTTATTATTGCAGAAAACGTCTTAAATTAACACCACAAAAACAATTGACAAGACAACTTTTTTATACTGAAAAACACATTTCTAATTTTAACTTGTTTAACTTGCAAATTTTACCGGTAATGAAAACAGAAAAACTGAAATTAGATCAACTCCTACAAGCAGAAGACGGAATCTTTAACGCGTCTTTAGGGCTTCTTTGTAACATAACTGTCACCTGGTTGAATGAGTTAGACAAATATTAAACCACGCTATTGCCTAACTGATCGGAGGGTATGTTAGAGACAGGAATTCTCCACACCATTCTGATCCCTGGCCACAGGCGACAGTCAACCTTTAGTCTCCGCGTGACTCAGACTTATTGTCCCGGCTTTTCTTGTCACATATCGTTTATTAAGAAACAAATAATAAAAACGCTTCAGTTTTATACATATGAAGAGAGATAATTATTCAGCTCACGGTCGACTTTTTCGTTTTTGAACAGCTGCGCACAACTCCTAAAATAGCAATTTTGTCATGTAAACGCCTTGTTTGATTCTAAGTTTTATCACCGGATGATTATAAAAAA